CAAAATGCTTGCATACATTCACTTGTCATGTTAAATGTACTTGGTGGAACTATGCCGACAACACACGCCCCAAAAAAGGACTATAACTAAAGTGAAAACAACTCTTAAAGCGAGGAGTTGTCACTGCGCATGCGTCAGATGGTCATAGCGTGTCATTGTTTACAAACAAGCGTCTACCCATGAGCCTTTCATTTTTTAACGTGCTTGGGACTTGATTCCTGCGCGTACACAGGTGACGACCCCCCTGCTTTAAGTGTTAAGATTTATTAATTTGAAAAGTCACTCACACTAGGAAAGCTTGGGACCAGTACTATGGGTTTTATTTTCTATGCTATGTGGGTACAATAAGTATAGCTTAACTATAAATGCTTTAAGTGTAAAGATTTATTAATTTGAAAAGTCACTCACACTAGGAAAGCTTGGGACCAGTACTATGGGTTTTATTTTCTATGCTATGTGGGTACAATAAGTATAGCTTAACTATAAATGCTTTAAGTGTAAAGATTTATTAATTTGAAAAGTCACTCACACTAGGAAAGCTTGGGACCAGTACTATGGGTTTTATTTTCTATGCTATGTGGGTACAATAAGTATAGCTTAACTATAAATGCTTTAAGTGTAAAGATTTATTAATTTGAAAAGTCACTCACACTAGGAAAGCTTGGGACCAGTACTATGGGTTTTATTTTCTATGCTATGTGGGTACAATAAGCATAGCTTCACTATAAAAAATGTCAGTAATCTGATCAATTTGCTAAGCTAATCCATACTTACCTTATATCCAAATGATAGAGAGACATGGATCGACACTCGTGGGCATTAATGGATCATTGCCCAAATTTGAATATATTAACTGTTCTATCTAGCTGTCTGCTCTTGATATACATAGTGATTGAAAGTGACCCCAGCAGCAGTCCATACCAGGATTGGTTCTAAGGGTTTTTTGATAGCAAAATTTCTAAATTTCCTAAAACCACATAAAAGTCTGTTTTGACAATGTGATTATTTCTCCAAGAGAACAGGAAAGTCAGATATTTTAATTTAACGTTTTTTTTATAAGAATTGTGAAGGTCTGATCTTTGCTCATGATGCTAATTTTACCTTGGTCAGGAGGACATCTTGTCATGATTGGCTTATTGCTGAACATTCTATGTTCTATATATTGATAAAATAACGGATTGGTAGCTTTTATCTGGTCTCATTTTGTAAATTCAATGATCACTCACATATAAATAAGGTATAAATAATCTATGGGAAGTACATTTTGTAGTGTAAGGCTTGTACATTGTCATCTATGTGAAGTACATTTTGTAGTGTAAGACTTGTACATTGTCATCTATGTGAAGTACATTTTGTAGTGTAAGACTTGTACATTGTCATCTATGGGAAGTACATTTTGTAGTGTAAGACTTGTACATTGTCATCTATGGGAAGTACATTTTGTAGTGTAAGACTTGTACATTGTCATCTATGGGAAGTACATTTTGTAGTGTAAGACCTGTACATTGTCATCTATGGGAAGTACATTTTGTAGTGTAAGACTTGTACATTGTCATCTATGGGAAGTACATTTTGTAGTGTAAGACTTGTACATTGTCATCTATGTGAAGTACATTTTGTAGTGTAAGACTTGTACATTGTCATCTATGTGAAGTACATTTTGTAGTGTAAGACTTGTACATTGTCATCTATGGGAAGTACATTTTGTAGTGTAAGGCTTGTACATTGTCATCTATGTGAAGTACATTTTGTAGTGTAAGACTTGTACAT